AAAACATTATTCCTCCATCATTACTTTCTAAGTTAGGTTGATTGACTATTTCCATGATGGACCCAATCTTAGCCTAACCATCAGGTTCATCCAATTTAAATCTATATTCATCACTAAAAACTACAGTTGAGAAATCAGTTTTCATGTACTTCTTCAATTAACTGACAGGTTGTGTTTGGAAATTTACTTAAAAGTGGTTGTTTGGTTGCTTTATACTTTCATGTTCTTAGCCAATGTTCTTAATATTTTGCCTCTTCCCTGTTTACACATGCAACAACAGCTTCTTCAAAAGTTTTCTTGTTGATCAATCTACTTTTCTGCTTTATTACCATAGAAAGGATAATAGATTTTCACAAATTGTTTTTATGTGACATTCTTAAAGCTATTTTTGCATCTTGTTCTATTTTTTTCAATATTTTCATTTTCTTTTTTGATTGTTCTCTGATCTCTGTCCAACCTTTTCACTATTTCCAATGTTGTAATCCAATCATTCAATAACTTTAAAATATCTCATTTCAGTTTTACAGTTATATCTTTCTTTTATGTCTCATGGCAATCTTTATATATCTGAAATTAAAATAAGTAAATAACAATAAATATACTATCTATTTATTGCTTTTGTCGACTTCACAAAAGATACTGTATCTTGAACGGCTCTTTGGAAAGTTTTGTCAAAATTAGTTGTTCCAGAAAAAATGCTCCATATTATTATTTCCTTTCAGGAAGGAATGGAAGCTTTTGTGAAGTTGGGAAGTGAGCAATCAGATGTCTTTTTTATCTCCAACAGTACAAAACAAGCTTGCATACTTGCTTCTCTTTGCACTTTTCTTTTCTGCTATGCTTGAAAAAGGATTCTCTGACTTGAGTGAAGGAGTCAATATTGAATTCAGAACAAGTAGCGGTCTATACAATCAGCAATGTTTTAAAGCACAAACAAATTGAATCTGCAGCTGGTACACAATCTTCTCTTTGCAGATGATGCTACCCTATTAGCACACAATCTAGAAGACATTCAAACTATCCTTGATAAATTCTCTGAAACAGTGAAAGCATTTGGACTTACTATTAACATAAAGAAGACTGAACTAATGAGCCAGCCAGTACCAGACAATCCATCTCTCACAAATCTTTCCGTATTCATTGATGATATAGCATTAAAAACTGTTGAGGCATTCACATATCTTGGATGAAGAGTCTCTTGTGATGGAAAAATAGACAGAAAAATCCAATCCAGAATAGCCAAAGTCAGCACATCTTGACACCTTTCACATGTGCTGTTTTCATGCTATATGTGATATAAAATAGGATGACAGGGTCAAGAATAGTGCAATACTGAAGAAATCTAACAACATATATATATATATATATATATATATGTATAAAGTAATGTAAAGCTGGGTTTACCCTGAAGATCCATTTAGGTGAATTGTTTTACACTTATGCATGCTAGCAGGGGTTATTTTGTAGAAAATCAGGTAAGGGAAAGACATATTTCATTTGTGCATTCTTAAGTGTGATACTAGCCCACCCTTGCTGTGGGTGATAAAGCCACACTAACAAATATGCAAAGATACAACTTAGGTGGGCTGGTCATGTTGTAAGAATGAATGAGCATAGGATTCCAAAAAAGGTGCTGTATGGACAACTACCAAACTCCAATGTTCAGTTGGATATCTACTCTTATGCTACAAAGACAAATTGAAAGACAATTTGAAGCATCTCAACTTTAAAAACCTGGAAAGTCCAAGCATTAAACAAAAAGGAGTGGTATAAGACATATTTTATTAAGTTAAAGGGTTTTGAAGACAGTAGACTGAAGCACCATGATCAGCTTCATCAGGCTTCAACAATTTTCATCTATCAGTGTGGCTTTATCACCCACGGCAAGGCTGGGCTAGTATCACACTTAAGAACACACAAATGAAATATGTCTTTCCCTTACCTGATTTTCTACAGAATAGCTCCTGCTAGCATGCATAAGTGTAAAACAAAAGGCACCATCCACTGCTGAACCTCATTTATCATTCATGATAGGAGAGTCCATTATATACATATATATATATATATATATATATATATATATATATATATATATATATATATATATATATAAAAAATATTTATTTACAATATGATGAACAATTCTCAAATTACATAATAATTTTTTTATGCCAAAGACCTTGTATCCCTTTTGTGTTTGATCACTTGGACAAATGTACACATTCTATTTGTTAAATACAACATTTGTCTGAATAGCTTTGTTATAATTTGCCAACCACAGGCAACCTTACTCTCCCATATAGATACTCAGTCAACATGGAACTCATAATCATTATCATTCATGATCATTTTCAGAATGACTTTTGAATGAGGTTTGAAAAATAACAAAGCAGAAATAAAGATTAGAATGTAAGGTTTACATAAATAAAACATCCAACTAAACGAGTATTTTTCAGCCTTCAATGCTGATTGACAAACTTAGAAAATAAAAACTAATTGAGATACATGATTTATATATATATAACCATGTGACCCTTTTTAAAAGATGTGCCTATTGACTTGACCTCAGAAAGCAGACTACTTTAGTCAAGTAAGTGTTCATTAAACATGAATTTAGTGGTCAGTAACTGAGTCAACATTTTTTTACAAACATTCTTTATGTTCAAAATGAACACAATATCTCTCTTTTATTATTAGCCAGTGTTGCTTTGATAAATGTCTGCTTCTGCTTTTTTATTAGATACATGAAAAAGTAGTCTTCCTGCAATTTTTTTCTTCTTTTAATTAAAGCAAGCTCATAATATTTCCATACATGGCCAATCTTTCAAAGCATCTCAACCATATTGCAAACATGACCTGGCTAAATAAAAGATGTACCCAGAAATAATAAATACTAAACAACCGGGTATACAACACCTCATAAAAGAATTTCTTGAGTGATATTTATACTCTTCAGATAATGTATCTTTTATGGGTACTCAAATGTAGAATTTGTAGTAAAAGATTGTGTACCATTTTGCAGCAGAAAGATATTGCATATTTTATAAGCATATAGATGTACTTTTTTATGTAAAAAATATACCATTCTGTATACTGCAACTTGATTGACTAATTTGATTTTTTACAGTTTATCAACCTTTTCTGGATTGTCTAATGCAAAATGTCTTAATGACCAACTAGAGCACAACTTAATTAGCTGTTATGCATTCATCTATTCAGATTAGCGTTCTTACCTTAGTTGTTATAAAAACAATATTTCAGCAATTTTACACTCCAGGAACTTGTAGGGATTACTCCACCTTGCCTGCCAGGATACCTCCACAGTATCATTCTATTCAGGAATATGAAAGGAAGTGATATGAACCCTTTCTCTTTCTTTTTGCTCTAAGATGTCGTAGCAATGACAACAGGACTCTTCCCCTCTGGAGAGACACTTCTTGGACAGGCCAACTGCTTATTTTCCCATACCTTTGGTACCTCACACACACACACACTCACACCTTTCTACTAGCTGGGAATTTTAACACTTCTCAGTGCTGAATTTGTTTTAGCTTACTACTTCATCCACCATGCTTTCTCCATAATCAAGAATATAATATATTAACTTATTCTTTTAGAAAAATTCAGAAGTATTTAATTTTTTTTTTTTTTTTTTTTCAGAAAAGATTTCTGCTATTAGTCAGATTGCCAGGCATTACATTACATGGCATATCTTGTATTTAATTATTTCCTCTTGCCTCCTGTCTGGATTGACTTTATCATGATGCTTTTCTTCTGCATTCAGATGTTTTGCTTTTAAGTTTTACAGATTGCAAAATTTTTAATTTAACCCAGATGAGTGCATTAGCAGTATCTTTTAATATACATGCTTTTGCCCATGCACTAATATCATTTTATTTCACTTTACATATACATATATGCAAATTAGAAACATGGTACACAGGCTTTATGGATTTAAGCACAGTACTAGATTACTGAGAAGGTCTCATTAATTTTATAGTTGAGTTGACTTTTGATGCAACTGTAATTTCTATGTTAACAGTTTCTTTGCCCACATTTCTCACTTGTGAAACTCTCTTTTGGCTCCATGATTTCCAATCAAGTTTAATGTTTTTAATTTAAATGCAATGCCAATAGCTATTGTTGGGATCCATTTACCCAGGTTTTTGTTGCTATCTGAGTGTTGGGAGTCCAGACATTTAACAAAAACAACACAACTTTTAAATGAAACATGAAAAGGGTTATTTTTTCTGAAAGAAAAGTAGAAGCAGAACATCACTTGAAATGACATTTATATATTCTTTTCAGAAATTTTCAATTTTATTGGTTGAAAAATATATACAGGATTTAATTTCTATTCTACTTTCCTTCTGATTACTCTTCCTTTGTTCCCACTCTTTAATAATGTTTCTGTTTTCTAATTCTTCCACACCTAGAAGCCCCTTGTGTCTTAGTGGCTTTACTGCCTTGCTCAGTATGAACTCACTTAAAAAAAAATAAAAAATATATACAGTGTAACCCGGATATAAGAGAGTTGTCGGGACCGGAGAAGAAGTCTCTTATATCCGGGTTTCTCTTATATCCGGGTTTGGTCTATTTTATATACATTAACACAGGCTCTAATTTGGGACCAGAGAAAATCTCTCTTATATCCGGGTTTCTCTTATATCCGGGTTACACTGTATATGCAAATTAGAAACATTTTGCATTTAAATTTGAACAGTATATCTTCTATTTGATAAATCTGACAATCATTGTATATTTTATTTTATTTTTTAAATCTTTTATGTATTTATTATATATGTACAGATATTAACTTTTACTTGGTATTATTTTATTACTATTACACCCATCACATCCCTGATAAATATTCTATGCTCTTGACCAGCGATAGTGAAATAAAGGCAGAATTAATCAATGGTCAATCAGGGTGTAATAGTAAAAATTTACTCTTTTACCAGACTGATTTTTCTTCATTTGTTTATTTTCCAATACTTTAGGTTTAGCAATAGATTGGATACAACGTCGTCTGTATTTTACCAATCTTGGTCTAACCTTCCATAGTGTGGATGGCTCAGCTTGTGCATCTCATACTGTTGAAATGGTTGCCTTGGATGGCAGAATGCGAAGGACAATCGTTAGTGACATAGAGAAACCAAGAGGTCTAGATCTCGACCCATACAACGGGTAAGTAATGATGAAAAGAACCAACTTATTACTGTTATTTTTTTGGTTCATTTATCACTTCTTTCTTGATTTGATTGTAGTTATCCCCCTTACATCAATGACTGGCTCATTAAAAGATGGCAAATAAAAAAAAGATGGTAAACAAAGGTAAATGGCAATGTCATTGAATTATTTTTAAAGTATTATCAATCAGGTTTAACATTTCTGCATTTTCTAATTCTTCTAATCTAATTTATTTGGTCACGTCAGGACACAAGATTTGCTACTGGTAACCTGTAATCTAGTATTACCTGCTCCAGGGCCAAGTTGCCACTGACTAAACTGCTACTCCCACCAGAGCCCATCTGGCTGGTGAAGTGGGTGGCTAGACACCCTGATGAAAGCAAAAACAAAATATATCAAAGGGCATAGGTTCATGAGAACCATCAACGACTATTTAGCAAATAGGAGAAGACTGGATCTGGTGGACTGCACAGACTATATATATTTCTAAAAAATTAATGGATTTATTTTTAATCCGACATTTTTATTAGTTCAAACATTATTACTTTATATTTGAAATATTTTTATATATTAAAGTGTATATTGTTGTCTTACATCTATTGGCTTGTGCATTTGAGAAATAGTATGAGTAAAAATTTGCATTCCCCAGATAGAGAATGGAGGAAGAAGAGATTTATTGTTGCCAAAGTGAAATCAAACTATAACTTACTCAGTGGAATCAAGGTACACAATAATTGAACAATACTAAAAAGAAGAACTTGACAAGATTTCTCTAGACATGAGCAGTGGAATTAGAGGAGTATACCCCTGTAGATTAGATAAAAGATTAAGTTTGAATTCTCTGTAGGTTGCTTGGATTGATCTACACCTGATGAAGGTCAGAGGGCACAATGGCCAAAATATTGCAATAACAACAACAAAGCATGTAATTAGTGTAAATTAAAAATTTTAGTTCTCAATCTACTTGCTATTGTAAGAATGTAGAAGGTACTTATCTTCCTTTGATGGAGATAAGTCATGTGAATCACATGACAGCCACTTTGTGATGTCACTCCATACAGTGACCAAAGTGACAGTCATTTTTCAGTTTGTTTTCAGCAGCTAAATGATACAGTTGTTTTCTTTACCCCGGCACCTCCCACCATTGCCCAAGCCAAAGCAATATCTGCATCTCCAACAGCTTAAAAGTATATGGTGCTATTTCCCTTTGGGAATATATCTTTCCAAGATACAGAAAGAAATTCCAGCTCACAGTTCTGAATTTGGGAAACCAAAGACTTATGGTTTCCCATTCATTGCTGCCAATCTGTTTAAATCTGGAGCCCTCTGAGAACAAAGCATATTTGTTATTCTTTTTCCTTTCAGCCATTCTGTTCTGTCTCATCCATGAACTATGGTGTTATTACATCATGGATATAATAATGCTCATAATTGGAGAAATATAAAAGGGAGAATAAAGATTTCTTCCAGGCACTCTCATTACATTATATATTGTCTTGAGTGCTCTTTATGATTTTTATAGGGTAGATAAAAATGAAAAAAAATGTTGTTTAAAAAATTGAATGAAAGGACTAGTATTTAAAAAAGGAATTTACAAGTTTCAAAAATTCAAATATACAAAAATAGGTTTCATTTTATTTTCAGTATGATTGATTTCTTAGAACAATCTGTGATTTATCTGTCTCTTTTCGATTGATTTTTCACACTCGAGGCAAGGAACAAAAAGATTACTTTGATCTTTGCTTACATTTCTCCAACATTTATTGCAGTCTTTACTTTATGGTCAAGTGATTGTGATTAACGAAAACTTTATGACTAAAACCAGAAACTCCTTGTAATTACTTGACAGAAGTATACATAAAGCTGTTTGATTAATCATGTAAATCTGACTTGCCACTTGCTAAATATTAAGGAAAAACATTTTTTTGGAGTGTTCAAATGCCAGATGACACTAACAGGAGGCTAACAAATAGATTTTTCATTGCCAGGTAAGAAGAGAAAGACATGTGCTTAAACACTGACCTGTGTTCATTTTTTCTAATTTTAGCTGCAATTCATTAAATTTTCTTTGGGCTTTTAAATGGCATGTGCTTGCATTAAGGCTGCAAGAATACTTAACCACTCTTAACATCGTAATGCAGACCTGGTAAATTTCACACCAGCAAAATATCAAACAAATTGAAAGAGAAGAAAGAAAAATTAGTGAAGTGAAAAAAAATATATATTACACGACATCAAAATCTGAAGTGGATAGCAAAAGATGCCTTTCAAAACAGAAAGGACTTATTGAAGTGAATTGGTTCATAGCCTGCTACTTATGTATAATGTATAATAGTTGCACCTTATCTTGTGCAAAGAAATGACAGAACAATAAGTGAGAAGGATAATAAAAAAGGTAAATAGTGCTTAAAGTTACAAAAGATAGGAATTTGTGGAAAGCCATGATCATTTACAACCTGAAAGGACACACAGGAGAATTAAATAAGATCTTTGCATTTTTCTTAAAATATCTTCCTTGTAAAAACCTGTCTGCTTTCTTTTCTTTAAATGTTGATAACTTTTCTTCTGATTATATTTTTTTTCTTCTAACCTTCAGGTATCTGTACTTCACTGACTGGGGGAGTGAACCGAAAGTTGTACGCACACTTCTAGATGGCACTGAAGCTGAAATTCTGAAAGACGAAGGACTGAGTAGCCCCAATGGACTAACAGTGAATAATGGTCAGCTCTATTTGACAGATTCCAATTACAACAATAAGACAAGTGCGGCACAAATTCTAGTTTTCAGTACTGCCACAAATGAATGGAAACAAATAAATCTGGTAGAAAACATCAAGGTACGTTCAAGATTACTTATGAATAATGCATGGTAGCTGCACCTTATCTATCTTTGTGCATATGTTCCACAATTCCCAGTGAATGTCTGAAATAACATCTAATACCAAATCTTACAAAATGACATGCCAAAAGTCAAGTGATAGGGGCTTATTATCATGTAGGAAGGAGTTTGTGGCAAAGTGGTCAGACTATCTATGAAACCCAGCTTCAAATGTCACCATGGTTCGTTTGTCAAGGAGGTGACTTCTAGGTTAGGTCAGTGTTATTAAAAGTGTGGTACATGTACTAGTGCTGGTTTGCAAGCTATCATTTGCTGGTATGCAGAGTGTTTCCAGGAAACAAAGAAACAGTAGTCACATTTGACACCATGAGAGACTACCGAGATATCTTGCTCAATTCTTTGTTTTTAACATTTTCATTTTAGTTTTATATTTATTATGGTTACATTTTTCAATTACTCACTCATGTTAACAGTCATTGCAATACAACAAACGAATGTAATATAATTAAACAGCAAAACAGTAAATATGTATGACAATACCATTATGATGTTATGGTGTGTGACTCTGTGGGAACCTCACCTAGGATTAACAAAAGGCCATTTTCATGGGCATATATTTCTAATTTGGCTTTTACAAAATTTGCTTAACTATGGAAAAATTTATCCAAAATTTTTTTAAGTCAGCATTTAATTCCTTACCTTCATAATCTTGCTGCCTGCCTAGCAGATTTTCAAATTTCACTGTAAAAGTCTGTAACAGCACAGCTGCATGGGTGGCTCGTGTGTAGGGTCAGAAGAAGTAGCATCTTGTGTTGCCAGAGTTATGTTTCTCAGCCACCAATCATGCCTTATCCACTCCCAAATAAATTATTTTATAGAATAAGATATCATGCTCTCATGTTTAGTACAGATAGTCTCAAAATGATCCTGATATCTCTCAAAAAGGGAAGCGCATACCCACTAAATACCCCAGTTAGTTTGGAAAGCTTTACCCACCAGTCCCTCACACATAGAAGAAAAAAAAATGCTGGTATGCCACATCAGCTAGTTTAAGGAGCACTGGTCAAGATAATAATTGGCAGATGTGAGGATAGCATAATGGATAGTGGCTTGGAATGAAAAATCAAAAAACTGAGTTCAAATTCCAGTTGATTTTGTCACATTCACTTTCATGCAACAACTACCCTTGGGAAAGGTATAAATCCATCTCCTCCTCCCAGGATTTATATCTGGTAGGATCATAGTTATCTCCCCAAAATTTGTTAATGCACTATTTGCTCACAAAAAAAAAAAAAAAAAAAATTTTCTTCCAATTAAAAATATGTTTCAGCTTTAAATAACCAATGAAGGGTTGATAAGCCATAAAAAAACAAATCTGGGGAGATGATTCCAGCACTGTTTGAGTGTACTAGTCTCATTCAAACTGTTGATCCCAACAGATTAGGTGCTCTCTCCCAGAATTCTGTAATGAAAGTCACTCATAGCTGTAGTATAAACCACAGCTGGGCTCTGTGGGTGTTAAACAAACACAAATGTGACTGAATAGGCATTTTCAACAGGAATCCTAATGTTACCTGTTTTTAGCCACAGAAAAAACTTCTGCTACACTCCAAAATATGAATTCTTGCTTAACTGTAATTAAGGTCTGTTCTGTATAGTTACAATATAAACCACAGGTTGACTTTGCAGGTGCAGGTACCTGCAATAGGGATTGGCTCAATGTCCTAGCAGACAAATGTACTCAGAAATGAGTAACCTGTTGTTGTTGTTGTTGTTGTTCTTCTTCTTCTTCTTCTTCTTCTTATTATTATTATTATTATTATTATTATTATTATTTTTTCTATTTCCTTTGATTTCTGGTGTGTACATATTTCTTTCTGGGTCCCACCCAGAGACCGAAGAACAGAAATGGCATCATGACATTTTCCACTGAGCAATTAAAACACACACACATTTTACATAGATAAAACCCCCTCATAAGGTGCGGGCTGTACTTGTGAGAACAATTCTTTGTATTTCTTTAAGGCATTGGCTACCAGGAATCCCTTCAATGAGTCTATTGGAATCTTTTCCAATCAATCCAAGGGCTCCAACTACAACAGGGATTGTTGATGTTCTCATGTGACACATATTTGAGATTTCAATTTCCTTATATTTTGATATCTTTTTGAAGATCTTCAAAGATACATTGCAGTTTGCAGGGACTGCTATAACAATAAGGAGGCAATTTTTTTTGTTTGTGGTCTCTAATAACAATGTCTGGGTGATTAGCTTTGATTCTTCTGTCTGTATGTAAAGTTCCATAAAATTGTTACAGTTCCTATCTCCGTATTCATCACAGAATCTGCATTTTGGGCTAACACATCATTTTAGTATGTGTAATTGATAATTTCTAGGTAACAAGCATTGGTCCTGTGCAGCAAGGCTAAGACCTTTGGTTTCAGCTTTTAACCCTGCACTACATAGCCACTGATGGGCATGGGGTTTGTCTACATCAGCTTGTTTGGTACGGGCATAGTATTGACCGTGAAGCAATTTATCTTGTCATCGTTTCTGTATCTGGTTGGTTGCATTTGCTTTCACTTTTTGTTTTAAGTATTTTGCAGCTTCAGTATGTGTATTGTGCTTTACTTGTATTTCTAGACCCATTTGAAACTCCATTTTGAAATTGTTGGCTTCCTTTATTAAAGAATAAAGCTGGTTACTACTTTCATGTTCTTTGACACATATCATCATCCAGTCTTCTGTAGTTTCCAGCTATCTTTGAAGGCCAATTGTTGTAGTTTTGTAGGACAGTTTTAGTTGAACTAATCCTCTGCCTCCTTTGGATCTGGGTACATACAGACAAGCAACATCAACCTTGGGATGATGCATATGGTAGCAAGTGAGAAGCTTTCTCATTTTGGCATCCATTAATGTTAGCTATGGTCAAGTTAAGGATGTTGAAACTGTATTTCACCACAGGGACATCCAAAGTGTTTATGGCTGATATTCTGTTTTTTGAATTCAGCTCAGCATTCAATACCATACACATATGCCTGTAATACTCCTTTCTTACCTTCTCCTTCATTTGGGTATAATGTATACCATCTCCTTCGCTAATTCCTAGGTATATATAGGTTCAATTCCCAAATCTATTATTATTATTATTGTTATTATTATTATTATTAGTAGTAGTAGTAGTAGTTTTTATAACCCACAGGATTACAAGATGTAAAAACAAAAATCTGCTCAATTGTAAAACAGAGCAATTTAAGATCATATTAAATAAATAGTACAGCAATTACTGGCTAGCAAGAACAACTCTGAATTCAAAACCTGAGGAGTGAGAAAGATACATATTGTGTTATATATGTGTGTGTGAACATTGTGTTCTTAAATGTTTTAAGATTAAATATTAATTTGAAATTTTAATAATAAAAAAACATCAAAAGAGTGCACAAGCACTTTAAACAGTCCAAAACTATAAAAATAATAATTTTGTATTTCTTTTCTCACTTTTTATAGATACCTATGGGCATAGCAGTCCATGATGACATTCTTTATTACACAGATTGGTTTGTTGAAAATGATGGCTATGGATTCATTTTACTCTATAACTTGCAAAAACCCAAATCAGAACCTCTTGCTATCCTTGTAGGAGAACGACCAACAGGTCTTCATTATTCCACTCGAGAATTGGCTTCCACAGGTATGTCAGAATAAATTTCTTTCTTTTGTTTTTTATCTGAAAATATTTTTTTGATTTATCAATAAAACAGAGACATTTATTTCTGTGAAGTAGAAACTAAAATATAGTAAAAATTTAATGCCCATTTGTGTATTAATTATAGAAACTGAAAGAAAAATCTGGTTACAATCTTGTACAAAATTTAATAATTGCAGACAGATATTATTAAAATAATTATAATTATTATTAAAATAATTATAATTATTATTTTAATAATTGGTGACAGAAGATAAAATGGGTAAAAATATATACAAAAACAAAAAAAATTAAAAATATTTGTGGAGTGGGGTCTTTCCGTATTTTTTCTGTTTTATCTACTTTTTAATAATGTCTGTTCTGTATGTATACACTTATTTTATAAAAATCCAGTATTATAGGTTTCTACCTATAATATATGAATGTTCACCATCCCTTTTTTTAGAATGGTGGACATTAATGGGTTAACAGAACCTGGTTTGCCATATTTTCTTGTGTATAAGACTTGAGTATATGATCCCATAGTACAGCCATCCCCATGTACCATATTATCCATTCAAATTGTACATATATTTCATTAAAATATTTAATTTTTTACAAGATTAAAGAATAGAAATGAATCAAATGTTTAGTCATTGTATGTTTCTTCTTTTAATTTCTGTTTTAAAACTTATTTTTTCATTTTCCTGGAAAGGTGTTTTGTTGTAACATTAATGTTATCAAATGCAACAGATTTTGTGCATTCCCTTTGTTACTTTTTTTTAATTAATTTTGGTGAATTTTCTGTCTTTGAGACAAAAGCAGTTCAATTACACTGATTCCCAAGAACAAATATTGCTGATATATCAAATACCTTTTGTAAACAATTGTTATCACCATCTGCCTACTATACACTTTATTATCTACTGTGCTAACAGAGTGTATTTACAATATTGCTGTTTCAAATAAAAGGTTTTTTTGTGAATTAAACACCCCCTCATTTTGCTTTTAATTTTTATTCAAAATTTCTCCTAGAAAATATGGTAATGAATTCAGAAAGTTACATTAACAGAATTTCTTCCTCTGTTAAATTGAGTCTTTCCTGTATTATAAAAAATTAATAAAATTTTGCCATAGTAAAGAAAAGGGTATCTGAGCTACCATAAGATTCTATTTCTGTGGAATTGTCTCTTCTTCTATATGATGTGTTCCTTTCAGGGCATTGGCAATCAATACTCTCCACGACTTCTTGTCCTTTGTAACTTTTAATAACTTTTGTCTTTTTGTCATCTCTCCCAAATCCTGCTCTGCCATCCATTCACTCAAGCTAGCCAGGTACATTATGCATTGCTTTCATCTGTCTCTCTTACCTTCAATTTGTGCTGTGATTACCAAGTTTTCCAAGCCCTCTTTCCTCACATTGTGTCCAAAAAATTTTAACTGTCTCTTCCTGATGTTAAGTGGAAGTGTCCTTTTTGCCACCATTGTCTCGAGAATGTCGTCATTACTCACATATTTGGTCTGTTGCATTTTCAGTATCATTCTGTAGAACGACATTTCTGTTGATTCAAATCTTTTCTTTATCTGCAAGATGGTTCAGTATTCACTGCTATATAGGAGGACTCTTATTACATAACAGTTCAGTGCACTTTTCTTTTTTTCTAATGATATTTTTCTGTTTCTTAATACTTTGCTCAGCTTTTGGGAGGCGTCTTTCTTCAGAATTATACCACATTGGTTACAAAAAACATCCAAATAAGAATTATTCATTTAAATTTTATTTAGTCACTCAACCTGAAAAATTTACAAACTACTGATTTAGATTATAAGTTGAATTAATATATTTCTACACTTCTTCTAAATAATTTATTATTTTCAAACACTGCAACAATTACAATGCTACAGATCAACAGTATTTTGGAATTATTTTGCACCAGTTTTGATTCAGTCCACATTCCTCTTCTATATTTGCTTGTCACCTGGACCCAAGCTATCAGACACTAACAATGTGAAGATTCATTAAAATCATTGTAGATTTGTCCAAACTACACATTGTGATTCTTAGCAATTCTCACATAACTCTTTTGTTCTGAATCATATCAGGTTAGTTGCAAAAAAGAGCCATGTAAAATTTATTAATTTATAAAACTGATTGTTTCTTTAGTCTGCAAAAATGTGTAAAATATATGATATGGACCTAAAACTGATAAGTTTGCAAGCATCTGGTTCAAATTATGAGATTAAATAAAAATATCCGGTGAAAAAAATGAGAGTATGGTATGTATTAAGTGAAATTAACTTACTAATGCCAACCATAAAATGCAGTTTTAATTATAAAAATTAAATTCCAAATTCAATATTAATTATAAAAAAAAAATTCAAAATCTAGTATTAATTATAAAAATCAAATTAAAAATCCAGTATTCATTATAGGTTTCTAAAAGAAAAAAAAACAGGTATAATCTGTTTCTACTTGTAACATATTAATGCCTAGTGTCCTAAAAATGGACAGTAGGCTTGAATGGATTATGGTACAGCATCATTATTTTTATGTGAATTGCTTTAATTTTCAAAGCAACTTGCAATTGGGCAGACATGCACAAAGTAGACAAAATATATGAAAGAATAGTTAATTTAAAAGAAGATTAAATTACTCAACAGATAATTTGAATTTCAAAGGTATTGGTGAGTTCTATGTACAAGTAAAGATGACAGATAATGAACTTTATGTCTAATAAATATGAATGACCTACAGATAATGAAGACATACTGAAATTAATTACAGTCTTTGTAAGCCAAAGAATATTAAAACTGCTATGAAAATATAGATTCATAAATGAAAGGGAAATATATTTTCTGTTGCATTATATTCGATTTACAGTTTTTTGGGGTATTTAAGTAAAAATTAATTGAAATGGAATAGAGAATAAATAGTCAGCTTAAGAAAAGAGCATCCTATACAACAGTGGCTTGTTATGTTATGTAGCAGCAATATTTATACTATCTTGGTTAGAAACCATCCATAGTCAAGCAGAAATTTCATCTATTATATATCATCTTCCGAACATGAGTCTTTCCTCTTATGCTTTCTCTACATCATCTTGTTAACTGACTTGCCAATTGTTTTCCAAATTATCTAATTTTTAAAAAAGTTAAGCATTTTTTTTACTGGAATCATTTTTACTTGTGAATATTAATCTTTTGCTTAATATCACAACATTCAGCCCAAAAAAATATTTGGAAAAATTAAAATAGCTCACAAAATATCAGATTATAAAGTAGCTGTTTTGTTTGATGTTGGTTGCATATCTGATGAAACCAAAATCTCTCTAGAATCTAAAAAGATCTTGATTAGATCCAAACAATGTTTAAAAAAAGTAAATTTTTAACAAATATTTAAGTTTATAAACATCTTTTAATTATGCTATGATAATGTTATCATATCAGTCACTTTCACTAATTGGAAACATGGTATTGTCAGATAATCATTAAACTGAAAGCTGAACATTAGTATTAATCTGTTATTGCTCATCCTATTTTCTTTGAGTCTAAGTATGCACTACCCAGCCCAGGGACTGAACTCACAATTACTATGTCACCAAATTCATGAACTAACACTTTAATCTACTAGGCCATTATCCTGCCATCAATAACTGACAAGTACTAAATAAGAACAAGACAAGATATCCCTGGAGGTTATCAGCAGAACAAGCACCATCTACCTCCATAGATTAAATAAAGGATCCTGTTAAAAATTCCCTGAAGGTCACTTAGATTGACAGCATATGAAGAAAGCCAGAGGACACAACAGCCAAAACATTGTGAAAATAAGAGCATTAGTCTGAATGTAAATAAGTCAGTATTTATTTGAAAACTGAATTAAACTATTAGTAATGAAAGAATAAAGGTTACAAGAAAGTTAAGAAAGAAAACATTTGATATTTATATTTAACAAATGGTAATTTAATCATTTCACCCCAAGCAAAGCAGAATGCCACTAGTGTGCAAGGGGTTACAAGGAGTGTAAATGAAAGAGAAGACTGAGAATAGGGAGGATTGAAGGAAGAACAAAAGATGAATTAAATTCAAGAAGACAGAAGATGGCAGTTGACATTGCATTTAAATTTCTGAAGATTGTTGTTATCAGGGAAGCAAGTAAACAGAAGGGAGTTTCATAGGTGGGAAGTGCAAAAAAAGAAAAACTGTTGTAGTAGAAATGGTGGTTGCATTTAGCTATTTCAACAATAAGAAGGTGGGAACTATATGCTAATCTATTAGCACGCTTAAAATTATGTATTCAGGGTACCATGGGAAAAAGCTGGTCAGAGCAGTTGCCATGAAAAAAGTAAAGGCAGAGAGAATCCACCTCATGTCGGTGAGAAAGAGACTGAAGTCAGGATGCCTGGTCAGGATTGATTACATTACAGATCCTTCTTTGGATTTTGTCAAGAATATCAAGATGTACAGCAGATGCACCAGACAAGGGTAATATTAGCTGTTTTCCTGGTGTGGAAACATTCATCATTCATTGAACAAGCAACCAGTGCTAGAAAAGTTGAAAGTTATAAAATTTTGAAATATCTAAACTTTCTCAGACCAATGATTCAAAATGGCTTCTAGTGAATGATGTCTGTATGTCTTAGAGAGGACAATCCTTTTTTAAAGTTCATGAACGAGCACTACAGAATCACAAAGATCTGTACCAAATAACAGAAACCAAATCACTTGAGGACTTTCAACAACAGAAACAACTAAAATGGATAATGCATGTAACTCTAAGAGAAAATAAGGAGATAATGAAGATGTTGATATTCCATACTACTTCAAACAAAACGTTAGGAAGGAAGCCTCCATCAATACTGGAAAGAGCAATAACAATGAACTTGAGAAACCTATTTTCCTGAAAAATTATTTTTAATAGAAATCATAATAATCAATACTTATGCTCTTTTTTCACATCAAAGTATATATCATATTTTCAGATGACAAATATTGGCTAAGACATC